GGGGGGGGGTGCGTGCGTGCGTGCGTGTGGTTGTCATCTCGATAGTCGATAGAGAGCACGTCAACAAACCTGAGTTCATGCACCGGCATCAACCATAGTGTTGCGGTGTCTCTAAACTAAATGGGGACCAGCAACCCAAACTATGTTACTGATTCACCCCGGAAAAAATAGAGAATGTAAACAGGGAAGAGAACGGAGGGGCAAAGGCAAAGATAGAAGTGAAGAGATTCTATACACTGTAAATAAAGCACGTTGGCCGGGCAAAATAGTTGAAAACTGAAGGGACCCAATTCGATCCGTGCGTTCCATTTGTGTCAATTGTGGCTTCTAAATCTCAGCAAACGTATCCGGGTGCGCTTTTATTCAATTCTATGAAATGGATCAATACAACGTGACTCGTTCTGAATCTGAAATACAGTACAGGTCTGACCTCTTCACCTTCTCAACAAGGCTTACAAGGATCTCTAAATTCATAAGACAAGATTTACAATGACCAAATTGGTCCTGGTTGCCAAGGACGCTGTGTTTCACTGCGCACGTTCACGTAGATCTACATTTAGTTTTAGATCAAGTTGTGTTTTTGGCCTGGTAGATATAGTTCAACCCTCACAAGTTCAAGTCTCCTCCCATCGAGGGTTTGCTGCTTTAATCTCTTCACTGCAACCCGAAGCCCGACAGTTAAGGTCCGTCTTTGCAGCAGCAGGTCACAAATTTGCTGCCACAACTTTCATCATGGCCAGTCAGGTATTGGTATTTCCTTTTGGGAGGACTTCCATAATGAGTGACCATTACGAGACAGAGTAGAATAGAGGGCCAGGGGTAGGACCTAAAATTAGTAGGGGTAGGGCTTGGGTTAGGGTTAGGGCTCTTCTACTTTATTGTGTTTGTTGGGTTGGTCGCTCGTTACGGAAGTCCTTTCCTTTACTTTTGTATTGCCTAGACTTGAGTTTGAGTTTTGTCTTGCTGTGTCAGGGTTGTGTTTTGTAATAAAAATTTCACACAATATACAGCAGCGTCCAAAAGAAAATGTAGACCTAATCACCCTATCATCGTTTTAACTCTTACAGTACCGTTAAAGTTGGCAACTTTAGTTGCCAGGCTGTGTAGCTTATTGTGCTCATTACCGCTGGCGACTTAAGTCGCTGACGCGACCAGGAACACTAAACATAAACAATGATGTACGGATACACTGCACTGAAATAAAAATCCCAAAAGCAGTCACTGTATGAGAGCTGAAAATAGTTGATGAGCTTGTATGAATTTTTAAACGAAGTGTATACAGGCCCGGTAACCGGGAACAAAGTCACTAAGTATACAGACCCGGTAAGGGAACTCTTTTTTGATTTCGGAAAGTTTCAGCGCCCAGACCCGGTAGTGACCAGTGTGTGTGTGTGTATGTGTGTGTGTGAGAGAGAGAGAGAGAGAGAGAGAGACAGCAGGGGGAAGTGCAAGCAAAATATGACATGCCCCAGTTGGCAGGAGGGAACGAGAGAAAGATAGAGTGGGAAATAGGTGGGAGGAGAGAAAGACAGAGACAAACAAAGAAAAAGAGAATGCGAGCGATACACAGAGAGAGAGAGAGAAAGAGAGAGAGAGAGAGAGAGAGAGAGGATGACTGCTCGAGAGAAATTATGACATTGTTCTTTTCTTCAAATTGTGATTCCTCCAACTCCAAAACAGAGGAAAAACGATCGTTCATCGAAAAGACATCCGCAATCTTTATTTAGATCTAGATATCTAGATCTAGGCTAGCCTCGAAACTATAGATCAATGATTTATGTCTGTCTGTCTACATCTAGACCTAGGCCATAGATCTAGAAGAACCTAGAATCTAGGTCTACCCTGAGCACAGAATTCTGTGACCCTGAGCCAAGAGGGCGCTGAAACTTTCCGAAATCACAAAAGAGTTCCCCTACCGGGTCTGTATACTGTGTGACTTTGTTCCCGGTTACCGGGTCTGTATACACTCCCATTTTTAAAACATAATGTTTCTTGGGCAGTCAAGTTTTTTTTACATAAAAAACATATCTGATCTACCATGGCTTCAGCGTTCTAAACTGGTGTACTGTGGTAAGTGTACTTGAGGGCTTTTATGAGCCGTTGGTACTGTACTGTAACGCGTGTTAAAGTTAAAGCCTTGCACTTCCCACTCATGTGTATATGATAAGATTTGCATCATTTGTGGCATCGGTGGCCTAGTGGTTAGGCTACCGCACTCGTAATTGTGAGGTTGCGGGGTCGGGGCTTAGAGCTGCGGGCCCGACGTTGTGTCCTTGGGAAAGGCACTTTACACGAATTTTCCTCATTTCACCCAGGTGGAAATGGGTACCCGGCCATAGACAGCGAAAGATCTTGTCAGTATGTTAACTGGTGTTTTAGCACCTATAAATATGACCACTTGCACTGTATGCTTCCCAGGAAGTTGAGGTTGTTTCAGAATGCGCTCAAGTCTGCTGGGGTAATAGTAATAGTAGGCTATAGATTGTGAAGGCATAGAGTTTGCTGTTGAGTGGGGATTTGCGCGCTATACAAAAATGCTTTTATTATTATTATTATTATTATTTATTATTATTATTATTATTATATTATTATATAAAAATCTATCTTGCTTTCCTACAACGCTATAGTCTCAGTGGCCAGTTCTGGTTTGTTTCCAGTTCTGGTTTGTTTCCAGTTCTGTTTGTTTTGTCTTTTGTTGTTGTTGTTTTTTTGGGGGGGGAGGTTGGTGTGTGTGTGTGTGTGTTTTTTTTTTGTATCAATCATCATCATCATCATCAGCATCATCGTCATCATCATAACCATTTCCTTTCTCACCCTGGATCAGGGTTTAGGCCATGAACAAACGCTTTCCACCTTTCCCTTTCCTAGACTAGCCTCTTGAAATTATTCCCACTTTTCTGTCCATCAGTTTCTGTGACTCTTCTCCAGGTTCTACGTGGTCTTCCCCTTGATCTTTTACTCTGCTGATTCCAATCCAACACTGTCCTTGTATGCTGCTGCCTGACTTCCTGAGAGTATGTCCAAATCCATCGCTACGGCCTTCTTCCCACCTCGTCTTTGGCTGGGTTCTGTCTTGTTCTCCTTAACACTTCCTCATTGGTAACTCTGCCTGTCCATCCGACACTGAAAACTTCTTAAATTCATGTTTGATTTTTATATGTAGCCTACATTGCTTCTCGTTGAATCCCACAACAGAATTCCAGACCCAGCTCCGACATGGCTAAATTCAGAGAATGTTTTGGCCGGGCTAAGCATATTGTGGTGTTGACAGGAGCTGGTGTTAGTGCTGAGAGTGGAGTGCCTACCTTCAGAGGAGCAGGGGGACTTTGGAGAAAGTGGCGGGCCCAGGTATCTTTGATTCTCTTATTACTGATGAAGGCATTTGAGGTTCCCCTTAATTGTGTTTATCTTTTTATAATTTCTTTTCAATCTTGTATTTTTACGATCAAACCTCTCTTGACTTGAGCAGTATATTAGCCTTAAGTTCTGTAATTGATTTATGCTTTCACACTTTTCTGATTTACTATTTTTCTCTATTCTGCCTTTTGGCTTGACAGTCCTGCAGATGTTTGAACTTTTTGTCCACCCGTGAAACCATCCTGGCCATGAGTCTCAATTGCCAGTGAACAATTAATGTTCATCGTATGAAAGTTGAGAAGTAGGCTGTACCAGTGATCAATTTGTAATAGAGGTATTGCCTCGAGCTGTGTTTTTTTAAAGAAATGATAAAGGATTCCATTGGTACTACTTGAGAGAAACGTACTAACTGATACTGCTAATCCTTCTTAGTTTATTATATTTTTCTTTATTGTTCAAGCTTTTGACATTGTCAAAATTATTCTCATCTTTAATCATGTGTTGTCAAAATGGTTCATATTTTGTTATAAATGCTCATGGAATTGCTCTTCTGTGAATACAGATCAGAATTGTTCATCTTTAATTACTCTTGCCTTTCAAGGCTCTGATGTATTCGAAATGAGTGGGTTCCAGTGAACAAAAACTGGTGGTGCATGATTATACCTCTGAATGTAGAAAAGCTGATTCCTGCTGAGTGCAACAAATACATGCACCACTAGTTGAATAAAATGTGTACTTTCTAATTCATTTACATTTGATATCATTGTCCAGTCATTTTATAATGAGTCATTGATGTATAAAAGATAATTGCTCTCAAACATTTTGATGATTTTCTCAGGATTTGGCCACTCCAGAAGCTTTTGCTGATAACCCTTCTCTTATCTGGGAGTTTTATCACTACCGCAGGGAGGTCATGTCGTCCAAGAGCCCCAACCCAGTGAGTAAAGTGTCTTTCAAAGTACCATCCTCTCATTTTTACACATTAATATTTTATCACCTATGTAATTGTTGACACGTGTGTACAATAGAACATGGCTATAGCAAGACTTTTAGTTTCAGAAGAAAAATCCCGCTGTAGGCAAGTTCTCGCGATAGGTAGGCAAAGGCTAATTACCGAAAAATCATACACTACACTTTCTTCTTTTCTTTTACTGTCTTTTTGGCCAGGCCGAGGGCTATGGCACTATTGGCTCATCTCTTTTAGAGTGGCTCACGTAACACGTCTCTCCGCACCATCTCTCTCTGTCGCCTGCCCACCTCACTCATCACTGGACTGGCCAATCACAACGTCACACCGCTGCCTGCCTGTTTGGAGCCCACCTAGAGCCCCCCAACCCCCTTCCCTATGTCCAAGTTCGGGCCTTTCCTTGCCCCTTAATTAAACCCAAGCACAGAGTTAATTGAGTTTATATAGACAAAAAAAAAGGGGACTCTGGTAAGGTCCCACTGCAGTGGGTGCTGCGATAGTCATCATGTTCTCTTCTTCCTGCTGTGCCTTATTCATGTCTAGTGACATGTCATTTTGAACAAAAACTGCTAGTCCATGTAGGAGCTAGAATTAGTCGGTCTTACAGGTGGGTTCACTGTCTCTTAAAAAGCATAGTTGAAAGCCATTTAATAATATTCTTGGAAGAGTTTTTATTCTAAAAACATAGTGTAAATAGTTAATAGCATTTCTTTAAAAAAAAATGTAATTGAAATTCTTTCTTAACAAGATCTAAATGAAAAGTTAAAAAAAAATTATTATTATTTGCATTCGCAAAAAACTTTAAAAACTGTTAGTAAGATCTGTTTTACTCAACATCACCACTGAATGGAATTCAATATCTCTCCTTGTGACCATACTTATATATATATGACTTGGGTCTTAAAATTTATATACTTTTTAACAAAATATAATCAATTTTTGTGTCAGTGTGAATGTTTGTGTTTGTCTGTGAAGTAATATGTGTGTATGTGTGCATGAGCACGCATATGTGTGTGGTGAGAGAGCGAGAGAGAGAGAGAGAGAGAGAGAGAGAGAGAGAGAGAGAGAGAGAGAGAGAGAAGGGGGGTGGGAGAGAGCAAGAGATAGAGAGAGAGGGAGAGAGAGAAGGGGAAGGGAGCGAGAGAGAGAGAGTGAGAGATAGAGATAGAGAGAGGGAGAGGGAGAGAAGGGGGGAGGGAGGGAGGGATCGAGAGATTGAGAGAGAGAGAGAATTTAATAATTTATAACTGATGTTAATGTTATGTCTGCAAACTCATACAAATTGACCAGCTTTAGATTTGAAATTAAAATTTAAAAAAATGTTTTAAAAATATTTATAAGATTAATTTAACTATTAACTTTTTCCTCCCAGGCCCATGAGGCTATTGCTGAGTGTGAGAAACGCTTGAAACCTCTGGGTCGTCGCGTCGTGGTGATCACCCAGAACATAGATGAACTGCATCGGAGGGCAGGCTCAGAGAATATTCAGGAATTGCATGGCAAGTTCCTCATCTGTAAACTCCATTTGGGACATTTTCTCATCTCTTTCAATTCAGTTTAGATTGATGGTACATGGAACTCAGGACCTAGTTGATATGCCTCTCTGGTTTGAATAATAGTTTTCAATTATTGTTATCATTTAAAAAAAAGAAAGATATGATAGGGTCAAATGAGGTATAATGGTAATAGGAGGAGACAACATAATAATTGCCTTGCACCTTTGAAAAAAGCCTTTTCTCAGTTACAAGTGCAGCTAGTTGTGAATGGTTCTCTTACAGCTACACACCTGGGGTAATTCAACCCATTCTCTCATGCATTCCTAAAAATTCATGTATTGTAAGAAAACAGTCTATTTATCTTGAATTCTTTTGCTACTAGTGAACTATGATTTCTTTTCTGGGTTTTGTTTTTTAGTTTAGTAGAGATTTTATGACGTTCGCAACTACATAAGGTCATATGAGCACCAGTTTTTCTGGAATTGGTGCAGTGTAGGTAGAGATATATATGTCAACAAAATGATGTTGCTGGGCAGCCAAGATTACTTACAAGAAGCTGGTATTCAATATGATTTTGGCTGCCTCCCTTTGCAGACTTTGCTGATCTTTTTTGTGGATGCATATCACACAAAGACTGCTGTTTTAGATTATCCTGTCTGGTGTTTATTCCCTGTCCTTGTGTGGTATCAAAAGAGCATGTTCACTTAATTGAACGGACCTTTTTTTTCCCCCTCCTTCCAATGTTTTGTATTCTACATGATGCTCAAATGTACCAGTACCTTACTGACGTCTTTATGTCTCCAATTATCAGGAAACTTGTTCAAGACACGATGTACAAAGTGTGGAGATGTGCGAGTAAACCGAGACAGCCCTATATGTGCTGCCTTGGCTGGCAAAGGGTAAATATGTCATTGAAGTGGCAACAATCTGGATGGAAAATCTCTCTAGTATAGCATAGAGCAGTGATTCCAAAACTTTTCAGATCTGCCCCCTTTGCATTCAGGCCTGATCCATAGCGCCCCATCCCATGCACACATTCTCTTTCTCTCTCTTTCTCTCTCCCTCCCCCCCCCTCTCTCTCTCTCTCTCTCTGTCTCTCTCTCTCTCTCTCTCTCTCTCTCTCTCTCTCTCTCTCTCTCTCTCTCTCTCTCTCTCTCTCTCTCTCTCTCACACACACACACACACACACCTACCCACACTTCTTCCAGCCCCATTTTCCCTTAAACTGTAGTAAGTGTGTTGATTTTTGCTGCTTGGATGGAACTGTAAAAGTGTACTCTGTGCGCAAAACTGAACAGACTCTGACCATTGTGAATAAGTAAGAGTTTGTGAATCCCTGAAAGGTGCTGGATGTATGTTGTAGAAAATTAGACTTTTAGATGGTTAAGTTTATGTCTCAGAGTTAAAGTACATTGTGGTCAATTGGCTGGTTGTATAACTAAATATTCAATGTGTGTTAAAGCCATATCATCTCATTCCTCTTGAGCACCCCCCCCCCCCACCCTTCAACCCAAGCCCCTCCCACCTTTTAAAATGTTTTGTAAGTGAACTCTTATGTTCAGGGAAAAAAAAACTTGCCACTAATTCTATTTTTGGGCTAAAACTAAAACATTGGGCTTGACAATTTTTCTTCTTGATTTATTTCTTTTACTTTTAATAGACTTTAACTCTTTAAGTGAAGTAGTATTATGGCTCGTGCTCATAATGGTTTTCAAAGGTTTAGAACATAATAAAAGTGTCATTTTTTAAACTGTGATTTTATTGTTAAATGTTTGTACTTCTGTGAAAGTTTTTGCAAGGTATTTTAAGGTGAAATACTGGTACTGCCTATGTATAGCATATTACAAGTGTGCTAGTGATAGAATGAGATTTATGAATTTTTCTAGAGCCAAGGATCATTCATCATCACCATCAGTTGCCTCTAGAGTCAAGGATAGTTGTCAGTAATGATGTAAAAGTTTACATAAGGGAACTTGAAGATGTGGTATCATCATTGCAGCACTCAAAAAGATTTTATGTAGACCTATCCATCTTTATAACAAATCCTTTTTTTTTCTTAAAATCAGAGAGCCCGACCCTAAAGCAGAGGATGCAAGGATTCCTGTAGAGAAATTGCCTCGATGTCAGAAGGGATCCTGTGGTGGCCTTTTGAGGCCTCATGTGGTTTGGTTTGGAGAGTCTCTCGACCAGGAAGTCCTTCGCCAGACTTCTGAAGAACTGGAAAAATGTGATCTCTGCCTTGTAGTAAGTATGAATTGACGTAAAACATCATGAGCACTTTTGCTACTATGATTAATTGAACTGTGTTATGGGTTCATATCCTTTCTTTCACCAGAAGTTGTATAAAAGACGAAATCTCTTTATTATTATCCATCTCCTGTCGCTGAGTTGATAACGAGCGTTAATGATTCCTCAAACAGCTAAACTTCAAATATAATTTCAATGGAAATTCGAACAAGGCCTGTCAACACAGCTGATCAGCATTGCACCTGCTGAGGTTTAATGAAGCATTTTGCCTGATACTATGATTTCTTCTTTTTGTTGAAATTGAAGTAAAATCTCACTATGAAACCATAAGCCTAGGTTTAGTTGCATTCTTAAAATATTTTCCAAGTGCCCATTTTTTTTCTTGTTCTGCTTTTGTTTTGTTATAAGTTGCCAAACTTTTGTGGCCATTTTCTTGCTAATTTTGCTACTGAAACTAGGTGACCCTGACTTCCTTCAATTGCAAATATTTTGACTTCTTTTCAACATAGATGGATATTTTTTTCTCTGAAAAGAAGGCAAATGAACATGATTTAAGATGATACCAAGAACTCCATATACCCAAAAATTGACGAGCGCCTGAAACTGCATGTTTTGTTTTTCTCTTTGTGCAGGTGGGCACCTCATCCGTGGTGTACCCAGCTGCCATGTTTGCGCCCCAGGTGGCAAGTCGTGGTGTTCCGGTGGCAGAGTTTAACATTGAAGAGACCCCAGCTACTGATTCCTTTGGGTAAGTGTAAAGCTTTGGAGTGGACATAGATACTTCAGAACATTCGATGTTACAAGTACAGTGCAGCCTATCTATAATGACCTTCAATATAGGGACATCTTTTGTATAGTGACGTGGTGCCCAGGTCACTATTTTTTCCTTATATATATATATATATATATATCATTAGCAATGTTTTGGTTTCCTCTCTATAAAATTAATTTTTTTCTGGTCCCGATGATGTTATAGAGAGGCTGCATTGTAGGATATAGACAGGAAGAAGCAAGTGTGAAAGTTATTAGGGCAAGGCAATTAAAACTTTTATAAATGTTGGATTTTCATGTTTTAACTTTATCTGTACGTCGTGTTTTACTATCGTATCCATACGACGTGGGAAACTCTGTGCCTCCACTTTCCGAAGAGGAAATTTACTCTTTAATCTAATCCGTACGTTTTGCATAGCAGTCTGTCAAAATGATTTTTTGAGAATTGCTGAAAGTTTCAAAGAGATCTTCGTACTAGAAGTATTCTTAAATGTGAAGAATACAACCCAGGGGGTGCAAAATGACCCCAGGGTGTACAGATAGGGTTAACACTTGAAGCATGAGACTGTGATCACTTTCAAATGATAGAGACAACAAATAACATAAAGACTTGTTAATGGTGAGAGTTTTCCAGCCTGTGTGGGCTAGCACATGAACTAAGATTTGTCTGTGCATTCTTTAGCATTTTATGTTCTCAGGATGATGCTTTACTTCTCCCAGTTTACTTTCTTCAAGCTTTACTGAGCGCTTGTCTAGTTTCACAGTTAGAAACATTGTTATGACCAGTCTTGTTTATGTCACCTACTAGCAGCTTGCTTTTTTTACTGTCCCTTTGGTATTTTTACCTCTTTTAACCAAAATAATGAGACATTGATATTCGGAGCAAGAGATTTCTTTTTAAGAAGCTCTGCTGTAGTTGTTTTTTAAAATTAAAGACTAGACAGAGTTTATGTCAAAGAGCTAGTTTTATAGTATTTTATCTTTTCTTAAAGAATGGTCATTCCACTTCATAATGTGAACATCTTTTGTTTCCATGTTCATTTCCAATTTACTTCCTAAGCTCCCCATGGAACAAGCAGAATGGCAGTTTAATGAGCATGCCGTAGCTGTCATTTACTTTATATTTTCTGTTATTTTGGTTGCCTAGCTCTTGATTCCCCTTGATTTGAAAGTAAGTAAAGGGCGATGACCAGTCAGTTTCAGAGATGATGTTATGAGAAGAAACAGTTCTGGGTCAAAAGAAGTAGACTGACTCAGTTATGGTCCATCATTTAGGGTGGCAAAAGAGTAAGATAAAGCGACAGACACATCAAAGGGAAAGAAAAGGAGAAGAACCTGTCTGTGGCACACTCCAACACTGGCTTGAGTAGAGACACTTCACCTCTTGTGTAAGCATCAAAGTCTTTAGCTCTCTCGAGATAGCTGCTGCGGCCTAGTTGAGTTTAGAACTGGACATGTTCATGTTTTGCCATCTTAGTTTTATTAGTTTTAGTACGAGTTTTACAGCACTTGCAACACAATAAGGTCACTTAAGTGTAGAAAATTAGAGGTGTTACAAGAAAGTGAGAAACAAAAATGGGAGAGATAAGGACTATAGATGTTTTAGCGTGTATAAATGGCCACTTGCATTGTATGCTTCCCTGGAAGTTGATGTTATTTAAGAGTGCTCTCAGGTCTGCTGGGATAATAGTATAGATTGTGAAGCGCATATAGCTTTCTGTTGAGAGGGGATTTGTGCTATACAAATGCTATCTATTGTTATTTTTTATTATAGAAAAGAAGGAGAAAACATACCAGAGCCACAGCAACCACCCACTGACATTCTTTGAATACTTTGAAGTTTGCTTAAACCAAATCTGCAGTACAGCCAGATGTTTTTCAGTTTCGCCCGGTTTTTAGTTTAGAACGATTGCTCAAATAGATGAAAGAGAATTGGGGACCTTCTTGTCTTTAGTCTTTCTGCTGTTTTTAGATTTACAGTTAATCTTGTTTGGTTTAAGCAGACTCCACTGTGTATTTCCTCTAAACAAAGTGTCCTGTTGGGGCAGTTAAAGTTCCACCTTAGAAATGACAAAGTCTTTTTTATATTTAATACTCAGAGACAGTTTAAACTTCGTTGAATACAAAAATGTAAACGAAGTAACATTAATTATCTCGCTTTTATATTTAATACTCAGAGACAGGTTAAACTTGGTTGAATACAAAAATGTTAACAAAGTAACATTAATTGTCTCGCCCCCAGGTTCATGTTTCAGGGTCCTGCAGGACAACTATTGCCAGGGGCCCTGGCTGCCCATGAGAGTGAAAAGAAGTGAAAGTCAGTGCCAGCTGTGGGATGGAGACGCTGTGAAGGAAAAGAACAAGAAAAAAAAGAAGAGTGAAAGGACTGTTCTTCCCAGCTAATGTTGTTTCTTCACTAAGTATGAAACAGAAAATTTTAATTTGCGTCTAATTTGTGACATGTTATTAATAATACTACTGTCTTTCTTACATGTTTTTGTTGTTAAATATTTGGCAACCCGCTCTTCCTCTGCATGGGTCAGAACCAAGACCGCCCCCACTAAAACTGAAAGGCCTCGTACTGGGAATGAGGTCATGCCGAGTAGAGGGTCGAGTAGACCGCAGTGTAACGAAGAACGCTTCAGTAGGCCTAGGCCAAGCCCAGGCTAGAGCGACTGGCGAATCAGCTCGAAACAGGCGCGCGGTGTCGATGGCAAGCAGAACATAAATTGTTACCGGTATTTAGAATTTAGAACAAATTAATCGCAAAGTCATCAACTTCATTAGTGTCATTGGCGAAATTGTAAATTATAATTTATGAAGACTAAGAGGCCAAAATCTAGATCCTGTAATTAATCTGAATCTTACAACAATGCGCACATGTCCGACCTATATTTACTGTTAGGCTTACTGATCGCAGCAGCACACCTTCTCCACCCCGTCTCTTTGGCAAGAGATAGGCCAGCCCATACAGCAGTGCAGAAAATGTTGGATTAGGGTCATGACTAAGAGAAAGTGAAAATAGATCTAGGTGACATATGAGATTTTGCTTAGTGCACTGTAATTTTTAAACCAGACATAGCGACATGTTACAAAGCAGAAAAAGGTGCTTACAGAAGAGGAGAAATGTAACAAAATTGAAAGATGTTGATACTGCAAATTACACATTTGGGGTCAGAGCAGGTACGATGTAAGCAGGTAAATGCGGGTTTGTCAGAGAAAATGAAAGAGAAGAAAAAAGGGCACAAAGTAGGCCTAATAAAGTCAAAGTTTCACAGTACCACCGGAGGCAAACACCTAAAACAATAACAAATCCAACTGCATGAAACAGTACACAGTAACTTTGAGTAACACGCCCAAAGCCTTGACAGGTAATAATACTTCAGTGTCTGATCACGAGCAGGTCACTGTGACGTAGATGAGAGTTTTGCCACCTTTCTTTTCTTGCTGCGAGATGCATTCTTGATAGAAATTTCTTCTTGTGACAGTAACTTCCAGGCCCAGGTGAAATATATTTGGCGTAAAAAAAAACCAGGCACCCCTTTTTTTTTGTTTTTTGTAATGAAAGACTGATTTTAACCAGAAACAATCTCTCTATAAGGAAAGTTTGAACATTTTACAAATCAATTACTCAAAAAACAATTTTTAAAAGTGAACTTTATTACCTGAAATTTGATCTTTTAATTGTATGCCCTAAAATGAAAAGTCACAGTTAATACTGCGTATAGCCGCTGTGGGCATTAGCGACTTCTGTGCACCTCTGCCGCATGCTTCACACAAGTCTTTGTATGGAATGCTGTGGAATTTTGTTCCATATGTTTGTAAGTGCTGTACGTAGCTGATCCAAGGTGACCGGCTGAGGTCTAAGGGCTCTGAGCTGCCTTTTCATCATATCCCAAAGATGTTCGATGGGGTTCAGATCGGGACTCAAAGCTGGCCATGGATTGAGAACATTCACAATGTTGATGTTCAAAAAGTTTGTGGTTAGGTGGGCAGGGTGAGCTGGAGCATTGTCCTGTTGGAATATGGTGTTTCCATTGCGAGCCAAGAATGGGAGGATGTGCGGGCGAATGATTTCATCAATGTAGCGTCTGGCGGTGAGGTTCCCGTTGATGAAAACGAGGTATGTGCGGCCGGTCCTGGTTATCCCACCCCAGGCCATGACACCAAGCCTATCTCCAACTGAACTCACACAACTTTTAGAGAAACGTTCATTAATCCTTCCGTAGACACGCTGCCTTCCATCATTGCTTTGCAGTTAGAAACGACACTCATCTGTGAACATCACATTGTCCCACTGTCTCAAAATCCATCTCCGTCCCGGCCACTCCCTGGCTGTCTTTGTAGCAGGTCGGAAGCGATCTCGTAGGTGGAAGACCCGAATGTACCGGTCTTGGGCTAGTGTTGTAGCTCTAGGACGACCTGTCAGGGGACCATCCTGCACGGATCCAGACGTCTGCAAACGATTCATTAGTTGATATGTCGTGTTTCTTGTCACATTGAAGGTCCTTGCAACATTCGCTACTGGCGTATTGGCCCTCAGCATACCAACTGCCTGATTGCGCTCTTCGTTCGTTAAACGCGGCATGCTGTATCTTTAGATTTAGATGTTTTGAAATGAAACTTTTAACGTTTTATTCTTGGCTACAGATAAAAGATGTGTTAAACCCATAAAATAGAATTTAAAAAACAAAAACGTTCGAGAAAAATGACAAAACACGGTTTTTAACAAAACAAGACCTGAGCTTTATTAACTGGGCACCTGATCATAAATGCAGGCTGATCAAGAGCGTCAAGTGTTCACAATCACGTGTGGAAAATTTTCCGCTCAATGGGTTTTCAACTTTTCATGAATCACGCAATTAAAATGTGTCTAGTTTTTATTGACGCTAAGTGTAGAGCAGGAAAATCTCTCAATACAGAGATTTGTCGCTTGCGACAAGTTAACTCCTTGGATGTTTCTTTAAAGAAGCAGTATGCATGAATGGGTACTTCAGTCCTCCCCTGTTCAATTCTTCACTGAAGAGAGAAAACTCCAGACAGAATAAACAACTGTCACTTTTCAATATGTGTTCTGGGTGTTTGAAAGCGATGTAGATCTAGCCACTGATAAAAAATAGGAACATTTTCTCATCACTTGAGACTTTGCTCGCTAACTCTGACAGACCATCCAGGACAATGAGTTCAAAATCGGTCAATGGGGTTTGGCAATTTGCATATTTGTGTTTGCTGTCAGCATATATGTCAACTTCCTTGTTGGTTTCTAACAACCGCTTTGCTCTGTCCATGGCATGCATGCTCGCCACGTCTTCTGCGGTGATGCAGTATGTGCAACCGGCGGATCTTCTGAAGTAGGCAAAGTGATGCTCAAGATCATCTCGTTGAAAGAATCCTACAGCCACATATTGGTGCTTCAATGAAGATTGTGTTGTGAGCAGGTAATTGCTGAGCGAAACCAGACACGAGCATGTCCAATTGAGGGCATTTGCATCATCTCTAGTAAGAGATTTCATCCTCATGCCTCCTCCTGGTGCCATTTTTTGGGCAGTGTCAGCCCAAAACTGTAGAATGTCAAGCTGGTGCTTTCCTGTTGCTGACAGGCTAATCGGCGTTCTGTCTTCATCTTTGAAGTGAATGTGATCTTTGGAGGTTTTGGTGTTAAAGACCCTCTGCAGCCTGAGGATGTGATCAATGAATACCGCTGTGTCTTTCCATTCTGGAGTTGATGCTGTGGAAGACTTCAGAGCAGCACTCGTCTTCTCAGAGAAGACATTGAATGCGAGAGGAATCCTTTGTTTCTCGACACTTGAAGTTGAAGGGTACGCTGAAGCATGATTGAGCTGAGAGAGCCTGACCATGGTGCTTGTTTCCTGGCGGTATAGGTCTTCAAGGAGAGTCCACTTTGCACATATGGAAGCTCCTGTTTGAATGGTGAAGTTGAGCGTCTTTGTCTTTTTAGTTTGCCAGTTGTTCCTCAAATTCTTTATTATGTGAACAGTGTCATACAAAAGAAAGAGAGGCCTTGTGTCGTGGGCAGGTGACCATGCGATTCATGGAGTGTCCTTGTTAGGCTTGATGAACTTGTTAAAAAATGATTGGTTCATTCGATTATTGTCATTGATTACTGCTACGACTTGACCACCGCATTTTTCCACAAGTCGTATCAAATCAATGGCTTGTCGGAACTGGAAATCCATTGTCAGAGCATGACATGGTAGTATTTTGGCAATGAAGGTTGGTCTGGCAAAGAAACATTTAACCGTCATGCATAAGAATGTTGTTGCAATATTGCCTGGCTGGTCAACCGAGTAGCCATATACTTTCCACCCTCAATATGTGATCAAGGCCTTCACATAGACCTCGTCCAATATCAAGACACAGTGTTTGGCACGCTCTGGTTGGGATGAAAACACACTTGCCAACATAGACTCATCTCCTGTATTCTTTGCAGTAGCTGTGATTTTGCTCAGAGTTGACAACGATGGGAGCTGTATCAACTTTCGTAGCTGAAGATACAGTGATCTCGAAAGCGCAAACCAGGAAAAAGCTCGCAGGAGGTCTTTGTGGCTATAAATCCTGGTGTTCTTTGGTGCATTCAGAAGCTCAATACAAGTGTTTGTGAAAATCACTTTTTCTTTAGATGGGATGATGGAAGCTTCCAAAACAAAGCGCAGCAGCTCGTCCAGTTGGCTCCAGTACTCAATCACTTTCAAGAATGGGTGGTAAATCCTTTTGACGTTAATATAAGCCTCATAGTGAAATGACATAATATCCCCACTCTCACCGCCATTACAGGATTGGTCCCTTCCTGTTGCAGCTCATGAATGCATATGATACAGAGGCTTGTGCTGGCATACTCATTGAGTCAGAACTGTTAGTCACAACTGCGAAAAAACCTGGTTTCTGCAATTTAGACTGGAACATGTCACGATAAATGCTGGATGTCCTGTCTAAGGAATTCATTCATTTGATCCACTTCCACTCTGCGAGCTTCCTGAGTAACATTCTTTGTTGAACGTTGTGTGGTTTGATTAGCAGTGGGGATACATGAGTGAGGAATGTTGGGAAAGATGGAAGGGGGTACAGCAGGTACTAAGTGTCTACTTCTGTGAGTACGAGTAAATGGGGCATCATCTGTCTAGGGGAATGCACACACTCCTATATTTCCCGTTACGTCTTCGATTTTCAGCTTGTTTGATAGGCACGATATCCATTGTTGCAGTTTATTCTTGTCTTGAGGAAAGGAATACACAGGTATCTTGTCTGCACTAGTTTTATAGTTTGTGTTACATCCAACCACAGAGCACTTTTTCCCCATGATGTGGTTTGCTTGTTTTCAAGTTCAGGTGTCTATCATGAGATGAGAGCATTTCACTTGCACGATTGAATTTACATTGTCCTACAACACTGTCGTCAGTCCCCAGACAGATCACACTTGATCTAGATCTAGTCACTAGATAGAAACACAAAGCGGTAAGACTCCAGTCGGC